CAGTTTCTCACACAAAGGGACTGAACGCCTATTTCTGGTCCAAAATGCTAATGAAATTGAAAACAATTTAGATTAATTCTGTAACTTGTTCTATTCTTTCATGTCAAACTAGATACATTGATGGATGATGATCGCTTGGTTGATCTTTTCTGTAAATATTAAATTTTGAAAAATGATCCCGCACAATTCAAGTGAATTAATGCATCATTTGCATGTTTCGTGCAACTTCCCAGGCAAGAAATTTACCGAGCCTGGGTATTTTCAAGAAAGAAGCATTGCATCAACGTGTTGAATGGGGTAAATTGCATTTATTTTAGAATCAGATACTGATATATATTTATATCACACAAACCAGTGATGTTAATGTTCCATATATATGGTTTTGCACAAAGCTTACGCAGGAGTTACTCTTCTATCGTGGACTGATGTGACTGCTTGATTACTTCCCGTGATACAACTGTGTTGTTTAAGAGAGTCTCTGTAATACGAACTGACAAATCCGTACATTCCAATGTAATATATTAACAGCATAATGAATCGAACTGTATTTATCGTTTCAAAGTATTCCAAGTCGACATTTCTATTTTATTTGTGTTCTTTTACATCTAAAGCATGAAAGAGACACCCAAGGCGCATTTTCCTCTAAGCGTTAGTAAATTATCAGTAAAATTGAATCCAATTACTATTTAATGCTAACTCATCAATTTTTACAATTCAAACAAGACATGAGGCAATATGATTAAAATCATTGAAGTAAGTTCCCATCCCTAACGCTTCCCCCCCAATTGTTTTGTTTTGTTTCTGATTTTTGGGGTTGTTGGTTCTTTACAGTAAATATCTTTGAAATTTAAAGGTATATTGAGCACCTTTCCACATTTTTGAATCATTAAATCAGACAATGATTTCCGAAGGGCTAGCTTTTCTAAAAACGCTTTGACCATTTCTGTTAATACTTTGACACAATTCATTATGCGTAGTTGTCTTTAACAACTATGTTATATAATTTATGCCTTTTTGATCCAATTATTGAAAAAGAGTCGTGTCAGAAACATGCGCGACGCGCAAAATGATTATTTTCAGAGATTAGATGAGAATAAATGGAAAGTTGAGACTGTGGTTGACAAAGACATTGCATCATATTACAGTCCGTGTTCATATGGGGGTACATCTATCATCGTCCGAACTCTTGGGTATGATAAGCGTTGAACGCGAATTGTGATCTATTGATGCTGTCTTGTGAACTATAAGTGCCCGTGTAATACCTTCATCACTGCCTGATCCTAAAGATATGTCAATCACCAGGTTGCGTTTATCTACTCAGATGTTTTCGTATCCAGTAAAAGATCATATCTAAGGTAAAAAACGTCACCAAGGGATCAAGAAAACATTAACCTCAAAATAGAAATGATCAGATCTAGAGAAACATGTAGAGATGCAGTAGAGAATTGACAGTCAAAACGATCCAGCGGAAATACTTAAAAGCCAAATTAGATTAACTGCTCGTCTTAATTCTTTATACACACATTGTCTTAGCCAAATAAGCATTCGATATCAAGTGCGAGTATGAAAAACATTTATCAAGCCTTCTTGTATGAAAAATGCTCATTCAGCACACACGTTTCGGCTTATTTCTGTGAAATATGTGATAATAAGATAGTGAATGGGCGTCATTGAACAGGAACTTCCGCGCGTCTTTAATTTCCAAGATCGCTTTGCCTGAACTGCAACTGATCTTTTGCGTGATAAATGGGAGGCGTAAACGACTTAATTAGTATCATATAAGGCGGAAAGTTTCGACTTCTAGGGGGTTATTGTTTTTATATTACCCATGTCTTTGTAGCTACTTATTGCATTCCCTCGTTCATTGCAATTTATATATGATAAATGTTTACGACATCTGCACACAGGTCGAACTAATCTTCTCTTCCTTCGCCAATTGCAACGGAATTATGTTCGCTTTAAAAAAATCTCAAGAGCCCGCTAATTATACATATGAAAAAGAGAAAGTGAGAAAGATTCAACAAATGAAATATTTTAATGTAGTATAGCAAAGTTAAGTCAAATTTTGTCATGCGTGAGAGGATTCAGATTTTAAGAATATTAACGTACAGCCCATTATACTTTAAGACACAGGAAACGTAGCCTTCTTCTAACCATCATATCTTGCCTGAGAGACGAATAGTCAATATGTGACAGGATAGAAGAAGAAAAACGTTATTTAGTTGATAAGTGTGATTAATTAATGTCGACTAACTAGACTTAAACATGGATACCCAATTAAATGCTACATGAATACTGTACCATATCTATTTTAAACAGGAGGGATGTCAGTCAGCGGTTTATAGATAGCTTCTCTAACAAAAATATTATAAACCCTTTTTCTCAAGAACCTTGTGAAATTTTGACGAGAACCATCAGTACTCATTTTGATCTTGGATAGTAGGAGTTTGAATAATGTGTATATTCTCTACCTATAAAAATGTACAGGTAATGTCAATTAATTGTATTTATATAATCTAGGTGGAGATATAGGTTAAAATCAAAATACTCTTACTGTCTCTCTCAATCTCTTACTGTCTCTCTCAATATGTCTATTATTGTATGGGATGGCTGGAGATTTTTCCAATAGGACATTGTTCCTATTTAATCATATTTTCTATTTATCATTTTTCAATTGTCTTTTACATTGAAGTTCAATAGTATTATATTTTCCAAGTTATGCAAGTTCATTTTTCCAAAAACATATACAGTTGCTTTACAAACCATTTCCAAATTGTAGTCAATACTTAAAACAAAACACTCAAAATAGCTTTGTTTATCTTATTCTTAACTTTTTATCTCACGATTATGATGTTTTAGAGAATAAAATGAAACAAAATAGCCCCCTTTTGGTTTTTACACTGATTGTATGAAAGATACATACTAGAATACCTTGTCTATCATAAGAGGTTTTTGACCAGATCATGTTGTCTATTGAAGTGGATCTGATATATGGAGTATATGGTACATGAAGCTGACAATGGATTGTTATGGTTAATGGAGCCCTCGCTACTAGTTTTCCCATTGATATTGATGAGAGATGATATTGGGATAAATTAAAGCCTGTATAAATATTGGCGTGACAGTTTTGTGACGTCGTTTTAGCTTTCCTACTGTACAATCGATGGGAAAATATGTGAATATGTTTTTCAGAAACATTCGTTATTACATGACAAAGAAGGAAATAAATGACACAGACCTGCAATGGGAGAGGCTGGCCGGGTCAAATGACTCGAATTTCCCGTCAATGCGTTGAAAAGTATCATGGATTATGCAAATCATGGATACCATCGGAAAGCATGTCTTATCTTTTTTAGGAAGATACACTTTTTGAATACCAATATCCTGGCTTAGGGTGAATGAAGAAAAATATATTTCCATAGATTAAGATCAATGTGAACCATTTGAAACACTTTGGTACGATCTATTTGTTATACTTGAAATACTCGAGGTTGTCAACTAATTTGTATGATTCGATTCTGGACATCTGTCATTGATATTTTTTAGTTCGTTAATAAAAGCATATAATTTTGTTGTTTTGATGTTTTACATTAACAATATCTTGACATAAGGATAGTCAAAATTGATCATGGGGTGCTTGTGTTTCGCAAAATCGTTCAATGACATAGCACCCAATGAGGTGAGCAACCCTACCTTTTCAATATCCAAATATACATTCTCCATTTTAATAAAAATATGATAACCATAGATGAAAATTGTTCTCGTTTGCTAAGTACTTACTTTTTAATAATAGAGATTTCGCAACTCATTTATAGCATATTTATTATTTCCGTATATGAAGCGTTTGATTACGTCATCATTTATTGTGGAGCTCTATACATCCATAAGTGTGATATTCTATACGTAAGAATAACACACTTATGGACGTATAGAGCAGCGCAATAAATGATGACGTAATCAAACGCTTCATAAGTTATACGTTATATGGGAATAATAAACATGCTATAAGTGAGTTGCGAAATCTCTCTAGTCTCGTCTTATATTCCCATTTTAATTTTACTTTCGTGTATTGTACTTTGATTAATTAACGACAATCATGTAATTCAACAAACTTAAGCTTATTGAGAATTTGCTACACAATGTTAAGCACACAGGGAGATCGAAATTGTGAAATAAATTGATAGGTCTTTTGAACTGCGTTATGTATTCTTAAAGCGTAGCAGATGCTATTGATATACAAGGCATTGACATACAAAATGTCACTACATGCCATTTGTTACCGATGCCGGCCGCCAAACGCTGAACAGCAACCACCGAACGCCGAGCACCAACCGCTGTACGTCGTCAACAAATAGTTGGGAGACAATAACAAAACCACTTGTGGTGGTGACAAAATAGTACTGAACAGTTTCAAATGAGGTATGAACATGATAAAACGTATATCTATGTTTACTTGTATTTCACTGGATACTTCACATGTTTTACCCCGGATGCTAAGAGCTCAAAAGAATCATATTCCTGAAAAAGATATATTTGATTTTTGATGATCTTTCGTGCCTATTCAAATTGAAGTATTTATCACTATAGCAAAATCATTGTCAAATCATTTACAAATATAGCCGTAGTTCAAGGGGCCATTCATATTTTCAAATCGGTGAAAAAGTAATATTGGCTGAATATTCTTCGTAATTATATCATGGATATATCTTCGATATATCGATTTGATTTTCCTTCGCATTAAAGAAATATTATCATAAATACAACTGTCGTATCAAACACATTTGACCTCAACTAATTTTCAGATTAATAACAACTATAATAGTTTGCAAATATATTTTACAAGTGTTGTATTCCCTGTAAGTATTTTTGACAGACACTTCGTGCGTATGCGTAAACTACAATTAGGATACTTTGAAAAATATGCTTTAAACTATAATGAGAACACACGCAGAATCCATCAGAATGTCATAAAATGGGTAGTCATGTAATATTTTGAAAGACTATTTTACATACTCACCATAGAAAATATTTGATAATAGCGTAATAGGAAGGACGAAGATTGATACAAGAAGGTCAGCTACGCTCAGGTTGACGATCAGGTAGTTGGTAACGTTGTGCATACGTATGTTATTATATACCACCGTGATCACCAGTAAGTTCCCTATTATACCTAGTAAGAAGATAACGGCATACGCAATACCGTACAGGACGACCACATGCAACGGAAGTTTAATTGCAGGATAATACGGAACGTTTTCCATACTTCCAATCCCTGAGATATTTGTTCCGTTGTTGAATAGTCCTATCCCGGGAGTGAAATTGGTCCTCAATGTTAAAAGATCGAAGTTCGCAGTGCCTGCTCCAATCATTTGATAAGACGCTGTGTGGACAATATCATTTTCAATCCTTTGATTGCTGGCGTTTCTTACCAGGGGAAGTAATTCTACGTCTGCTTTAGGCATACTCGCCACTGGGACTAGAATGTCCAATTTTGTTGATCAACTCAGATTTTTCACACTCCCGGAACTGATAGTGGGATTTATTGGTCAATCCTATGAGATGGAACATCCGATCTGGTTCAATAACTCTTTATCTTTAGTTAGATATTATTAAAATTCCCTTACGATTTTTTCGAATTAGTTAACACTTTCCCTACTGACGAAGCTGAACGGAAATTAAAGAACGCTTATCACGTCTGTCCGATTGTTTCCCGATCATACCAGTCCCGATGGCTTATCAAACTTCGTCTATTCCAAAACTACTTCGTTGCTTCGTCAGTAATTTGAATTATTTCACAACTCTCTACATCCAGTTTTTGTATTTGCAACCCTAAATGAGCTTACTAGTTCATTCGACGATGCCTTGATGTTTTAAATACCAACCATCTAGTAGACAGCTTCTGTGATATATTTTCTACGGCACTCGGTTTATTCAGAGCAAGTCGCATCCATAATGGAAAATGAAATATCGTTTTTGATAGCGCTTTGACTCAAATGGCCGAATCTCTTGTGAATGCTAACTGCTGAATGCAATGCCCGAGTCGCATCATCGGTTACAGGAGCCGGAAGGGAAGGCTTACGGCTATATTAAAAGAACGTAGTGTTGCGAGAGATTATCAGCGACAGTATCCCTCGTATTAGTCTGATCAAGATTTAGATTGTCTGCTAATGAACATGTATTTATAACTATTTAATTTCTTTTATCATAACGACTTTATCCAGCGGTAATATTTTGCAGTAGAACCTTGCATCAAAGATAAAACTTGATTAACGTACGTACCAATTTGTTAATGCTCACAAGAAGGCAAAAATAGCACCATATAAAGCGAAATGAAATAAGGGTATTTCCTGTTTTCGCCAATGATATTAGAAAAGTAAGAACAAAAATGGTCAAAACAACCTCGTCAAAATGCAAAGAAGAAGCTCATTTAGGTAATTGGATGGATTGATGCATTTTCGTATCCGTTTTTCATTTCCCATGGTTCGCTGTGTACATTAATCAATCATTACTTTATACATGTACAAATATGTCAATAAAAATAAATGACAAGTTCGGTAACTATTGCATATTTGTCACTCTAGACTCCTAATATTCTATTTATTATGACATATTTGTCATAGTATTCTAGATTAAGATTGGTTTCTTAAAATGCTAACAAAAATCCGTTAACAGAGGTACATACATATACAAAGGTAAGAAAAGGGCTACATATATTTTGAGAAACCTCAAGGGAATGTTAATGCGTCTATACAATACATTCTAGTGGGATATAATACATCAGATCCTCCGTGTAATTACAATACCCTCATGCACGTAACTCTAGTAATGATACGTTCTGTCTCAAAGACGGAACTTTCATATGCTAAAATTCCTAACTTTACGACCCCATAACCGTAAAACATAGATGGGAATAGCCTGGAAAATATCAATTGGCGATGATAAATAAATCGTTCTAAGCAATATCTCAAATATGATCCTAGTTTACAAACTTCAAGAGTGACAGAGTGAAAATGAATATAACTATTTTCATGTTACTGTCTCCTTCGAAACAATGCACGACACACACAGAATTTATGAAAAGCCATTGTAAATATTCGACAACACTCATGTTTTGCAGGATTCAACCGTGTTGTTCCATTTTCCATTTTATAATAAAACTTCTAAATACATGTTCCAATTTCCACATTATTCTGCTATACAGAGTCCCTACTTTCAGCGGCATTTGGGTCCCCAGCTGTGAGAAGGGCTTCTCACAACTGGGGACCAAAACACTGCTAAAACGCGGGACTCTGCAATAAAGCAATGTACCAACAGAAAGGCAATTTTGTTTTGCTTTGAATGGAACAAGTTTGAAGAAAAACGGTGCAATATGAGACTCACAGTCCTTGATTTTCAAACACCTGGTAGGTCAAAAATTCAAATAAACGGTCGAAGTTAGTACCGAATAATAGTGCTCAAATAAGACCTGCGTATGTATTAGGCCCACGTAATGCTTAATCAGAAGAACTTCGTGAAAGTCCGGCGTGAAAGAATATTTCATATTTTCAGTTTTGTCTAGTGTTTCTGTCTACTGATTCTGGACACGTGTTTTAGTACATCGAGCCTCTGTCATTCCATATTAGAGATACACGTCAATGAAATGTTGTGTGGGGAGAATATAAAAAAATACTATCAAGTAAAAGCAGATCGATGTTTTCAATGGATATTACCAAGGTGGAACCAAAGACATCACACAATACAGCAAAAGGAAATATCTAAGATCACTACCAGTCATAATGAAAACAATCCCAAATATCCCAAATGATGATCTCATGTAGAATGAAATATTACAAAACATTGCAGAGCACCCTTTCTTCATACCACTCTTCAGGTGTGAGATACTTCCAATAATGCAGGTACGAGTGGGTTGTTACCGGTTTCACCACCAGGTGGTTCGTTCGGGTCAGATAACATGGCGGGTATAGTAGACAGTTCCCTTTAACTTAAATTACATCTGTTTTAGTGGTTCAATTTTCATATCACCCTAATGTATCTAATGGTTATGCAAATCAAAATATGTCCAGTGAAAGAAAATGTTATCTGTCCAACAAAAGAAAATATATTTCATTTTCAAAAAAAAATTCAAAGTTGATAAACACTGTAATTTTACATGTAGATTTCAAATCTGATATCACTTTGACGGAATTTCGAATTTTTAATGACATAAATCAAGATTATATCTACTAGTCTCATCTACATGTAGTCTATTGAAAACACCGAGTAGCCTACAATGAGGTGACCATGACTCCATTAATATGGATTAAAAATTGCCAATGGTCACAATAACTTATTGTTATTTTATCGCTAACTAGCAAAGCACCAAACAGCACGACATCAGAATGGCACCTATTTCTATAGGTTTAGAAATCAAGGTCATGAGTAAAGGTAAATGACACCCATTTATTAATCAATGGTATTTTGACATGAACATGCATATCTTCGATTTACTGAATTTACTCGATTTGTCGAAGCTCGATTCTAAACATTGTACTATTCACCCGCATTCATGTGCTTATTTTGCTTCTCGAAAAGATAACACCGGCATCATTCAAGCAAAATGACAATTATGATAACTATGATAATACCACGATGCTATTTATAATTATGTGGCATCCTAATTTGCATACATATTGCGTCACAGTTGAGATGAGTCCCCCCTCGGCTCTAACAGATTTATTACTGGTATACTAGCTTATTTGATATATAGAGAAATAAATATCTGTGAAAGTTTATTACTGTACGCAACCAAACGAGAACTAATTACAGATTGCCGAGTGAATATAGGGAACATTGACTTTTTAAAACATTATTACTTTACTTGTATTCGTGAATGCAAGTTTCGGCTATCGGCTACCGGATTAACCTACTATTTTATGACCAGCTCATCTTAATATGAATAGTTCCTGCCACTATTCCACGCATGTTTGAATGAGTTAATCACAGAATAGTAGGTTAATCCGTTAGTCGGCAGTCGAACGACGTTTAATTCGCGAATACAAGACTCCAGTCGCTCGGCAGGTCAGAGAAATGTCTTTACTTTTGTTTTTCTGCGCATGATTTTTGAGCTTCTACTTCCGGAAATGATCGATGATTTATTTGCTCTAAAATCACCCCTAAATAGTCACCAATGAATACAATTCCTGTAAGATACGTCTTAAGAATGAATTGAAGCATATTTTAAGCCCAAATATTTGTAAATATATCGATCGTATCAAGTGTGGTTGGCGATCAAAAAAATATTTCGAAAAATCGAGACTTGTTTTTTATGAAGTTCGTCGATGTTTTAAGTGGAACAGAAATTATTTTTTCACAGAAACATAGCAACAAGCCCATTGAATCAGAATAACTTGGAAATATATCCTCATTTCAGATGGCCCGGCTATGATACGCTTTTTCTCTCGGATAATTTATTATTTTTCGAAAAATCCAATATGGCGGCCGACGAAGAACGTGAGAACAACCCAATTAAGAATTTTTTTCCTGAATAAGTTCTCCAATCTGCGTTTAATTTAAATCGTTTAAATATGAATGGAATAGTGGCAGGTTCTATTCATATTTAAATGAGTTGCCCTCAAAATAGTAGGTTTACCCTGTAGCCGAGAGGCGAAAGTTGCATTCGCGAGTACCAGCTTAGGTATGTACAGCGTTACACTTTTCTTTGATCAAGCTTTCAATATTTCAGATTTATCACCAGTTACGAAGTTTGCATTAACTATATTTCAATTAATGTTTTAATATATCAGATTTATTACAAGTCACAACGTTAGCATTGATTGTCTTTTATGTTTCAATATTTCAGATTTATCATTATTTCAGATTTATCATTACTTTAGTTTGCATATCATTTGATCTATTTTTTAAAATTTTTATATTAGTAGACTCATATTTATGACCAGTTGCAAAGTTTTCATTTTTTAATCGGAGTTTCAATATCTTGGTCCATTTCAACTTCCCATATAACTGTTTCCTGCTTTGGCACAATTATTCAAAATATAGTTGTACCCCTCCCTTCAAGTTTTCATGTTTGACAACCCTGCCTTCCCGTAAAAACGCTATTCTAATTTGAAATTCAAATTTAATTCAAATGTTCCACGATTACTTGAAGTCGGAGAAGACTTGATAACTCCAATATGGGAGTTCGTGTTCCTATTTCTTTTGGAGGAAAGTATCGAAGCACCCTCGTATATTTTAAGTTCGTACAATCAATCAACATTCTTCAAAACAATGTGTAGCATTTCGAAAAACAACTATTATGCTTTTTGGACTTTTATGTGAACAAATATATATCAGTATATGAGAAAATCTGATCGATGTGCGCCTGTCTAACACTCATCATGCTTTCCGTTTACCTTGCCACAGCAAGATGAATGCCTCTCACATCGCTATAATTTGCACTAAGCTAAACATTTTAGTGAATCACGCTTTCTGAAAACAGCCGATATGAAACAACACGTGTCCCTCCAATAAGCTTAATAAAAACATTAAATGCTTTGAAAAATTGCTAATGACGTAAAGTATAAATATTTATGAGGTGTAAAATTGCTGCAAAAAACAGCAAGAAAAAGGAAGCATCTTAGAGTACAACAGTCATAAGGAAACCAAACCCAAACTATCCCAAACTATAATCTAACGTGAAAAGAAGCAATGTCTATCACCCTCAGCTCTCTCTTCCACCGTCCATCACAATCCGGCGAGACCATAACATCAAGGGAAATTTCATTCATACTGTAGTCATCACAATATGCATCGAAGAATAGAAACTGATACCAATACTTATGCGTATGCTACATATATCGATGGCCTCATATTTTACAAGTCTAGCCTTCTTCAAAATTATTAGTTTCAAATGAAAGAGCATTTTACAGTGAGAGCTTTATTCTATAGCCAGCATATAAATAAAAAAGATGTATCTTCATTTATGATTATATTAGCATAAAATAAAATTATACACTCAGCTTGTATTCGCGGCCACTAACGCCTGTCGGCTATCGGATTAACCTACAATTTTATGGGTAACTAATTTAAATATGAATTGTACCTGCCACTATTCCATACATATTTAAATAAGTTGACCATAATAGTAGGTTAATCCGGTAGGTGACAGGCGTAAGCTGCATTCGCGAAATCAAGGTCAGTCGTATATTGCTGAAATTGTTCAAGAATTCGTCTTCAGCATATTTGAGGTCATACTACGAACTGGTGTTATGACACCGCTACAAGTACAAATTATAACATGACTGTTCAACACAGTTATTATAAAGCTATGGTCGAGCGCAAAAGAAACTTTGCGTATGGACATAAGCACATTAAAATATGTTGCTAGTAGAAATTAGGTCATTTGTATAAAGGATATAGAGAACTGGGCCTAAAATAGATCCCTGGGGAACGCCACGCATTATTGTTTTCAAATAATTTGATCGTTTTCTCTTGTAAGAATTCCATTTATATTCTTCCATGTTTCCCAGTAAGTCTTATTTAGTAATTTTGGAATATGAGCGTTGGAAATTAATAGTTCATATTTCTTATATTACTTTTGTGTTTCATCAATCATAATTATCCGTATTAAATACAAGATAACACAATTCAACATTGATTCCATCTAAGGCCACAAAAGCATGTTTGGTAAACATATTATTTACTCTACTCTATTTAAAACTGCATGCATGTATTATAACTTGGGCGTCTTGTCCAGTCACATTGGCACCCTGTCTCGTCACACGTGGGCTTACATACGGAGTGTTTGTTGTAGCAGTCTGCCATCTTCCAGCTACTATGGAGGGGATACACGCATGATGACGCGGCACAATTTTGGGATCTCGACTGCTCCATGCATATCTACATAGCAATTAATATGAGCAGCTATATTTTTTCAAATGACATTTATGAGTGTCAGTTTGACATGCGTTGCATTGACTGGTAATCAGTAAGAATGGTACTTGTTTCACTTTTGAGAACGCTGCTTAAGTCATCAATCTGATATCATCACACAACAGATAATGGAACCAATTACCCTTATTGTCACTCCATCTGCTGGGACCACATGTATTGATTCTTATTACCACCTTACATAACTTGCAAGTCGTGATTGTTCTATAAATAGACCTCAAAATCACCATCTTAAGAACATATTGTACATCGATTACCTCACAACCGCAACTTCTGCCGTAGTCTTCCGAGAATCCAGATCGTTGGTCCTCGGTTAGAAGGTCCCATTTACGCTGGAAGCTACAGCTATGAATCCATGCAATACCATCGGCTCTTCGTGAACCTTAGAAACATAATATAATGTTCTCCAAAACACAAAACACACCAAGAATTAGGATCTAACAACACGAACTAACCCAAATATCCCAAAACTTTTTACGCACAAAGATACCTAATCTAACCCCCACCATTTACAGTTTTCAGAATAAATTTCACAATCAAAAACGACAAGACCATAATCATGTTCAGAAGAAATTAAAAGCTAAAACAGCTAAAAACAAGTGTATCACATCCAATTATATAAAAAAAATCTATTTAACAAAACTGATATTATATTACCAAAATGGCTTAATACTTCCATTACGATGTCTAGCCGACTGTTTTTTGTGCTATCATAAATAAACAATGAAAAGGACTGCTGAATGAAAATAGATAAAAAATACTGATAATATTTGGTCAATTAAAACACGGAATCAAATCCTGTGCTAAGAGTTGATGTGAAAAAATGAGTACACTCCAGTGGGAATCGAACCTGTCAATACGTATTGTTGATCTATCTCCAGGTATACACCACACGTTGCACTATGGACGTGAGTAGACACGTTGCTTCTCCCCCCAAATCCTTCACCCTTGATAGAAAATTTCGTATGATTATAAATATTACCAAAATGTAACTATAATCAAATAAATTTAGATAATCATTTGTGAGTACTAGTGCCAAAATCACCATTTTGATTTCAAATGTATATCAAGTATTAACTAAAGCTTTTTAATCAATATCATATACAAAATTATATTCTCATGTACAACATGCTCTGCTCATTCAGATAAACTGAACCAATCATTATGATATGGCAAATGGTTGAATGAAAATTATTTGGGATGTAAATAGGTTCCATGTACGTATGTCAACTATCTTATAGTCTTCCGGACTCCAGTCTTACCTTAAATATGGAAACAACATCGATGTCATAATCTCTTGTCATTTCGTCATCAACATTTATTGCTGATCCAGTAACATTTACACGTAGTACTAGAACAGACGACCACATTTAACATGACCACGTGTATTATGTATTGTAAATGTAATTCCATCCTCTTGACTTCAGGTATGGACATTAAAAAAGGTTTCTCCTGAAATTATGTAAATTATGCTAATGTGAATAAAAATTAATCGTGCGAACTGTTGGTGGCCCTGAATATCCAAAAACAGCAATATACGACTTCAATAGTGCAGTTCATAATATAATCTTTAAAATATATTACCAAATTCTGAATTGCAAAAGTAGTGTTGTGGGTGTGTCATGGCACATCGACAACCGTTACATACGATCCATTGAAGACACAGGGTCGCAATTAGCACTATCAGCATCTTGTTTATATGTTTCAGAATAGTGTCACTAAAATCTTGTACTGAGTACTACTGACCCCGCAGAACTTAGTTGAGTGCGCAATATCTTATCAAGATAAATAATGTGATAACAAAAAATTACCCATAATTTTCTTATACAGATGTTTTATTAACCTTGACTGTACAGAAACTAATATGATAAAGTAATGTTATAATCAGTGATTATTTGCAGTCTATCTTTCCAAACATTTTTGGTAGTTGTCCGACCGTGTCCAAGCGCATATGCATCGCTCAAATCTATCGCATGTCTCCTGACATACAGAATGTCTGTCCAAACAACGAGACATTTTCCAGTTCCCTCTCACAGGTCGCATACACGACATCACTGGAGCCTCTGTTACATAATCAGAAGTGATCTGAAATGTAATTAGATGTAATTATTAAGATTAATGGATTCGCATTACTATCAATTCAGTTCACTATCTTTCAATTGTGAACAATGTATTTTTGTTTTGGTGAACACATGTCAATATGTTGCCAATAGATTTTATGTTATGCTTGTAGCTTGCCAATTTGAGGAACACTTATTTTGAAGGATGGTGTATTTGCTTAAATATTATATTCTTAACACATGAAAGGGCGTTTAAAGGGTGACCAAAGTGCTAAATGGATTAAAGTTACGGCCGCTTTTATTCATGAAACACATTTCTAGGTCTTGTCTCTTTAATGTATCAGTGCATCTTCCCTAGTTTTGTTAATATCAAGGGGCTGAAAATTGAAAAAATAAGGCCAAAAAAGGTCAAGTAATGCCAGGCCCACTTAAGAGGCCCTACAATATTTATTGGCCAACATTTTTTTCTGGACCCATCCTAGGGCAGCGCAGAAATTTTTTTAGGGCCCTGAAACCAAAATTAAACTAAAAGATGTAGATCATGCTTTGAATGAGTTACATGTTTGTGTTCCTGACAATAACATAGGACTCCAATTAGGATGTCATAAAATCATAAATTTGGGCCAAAATTTAGAAAATCTGTGGCACGATTTTTGAAAATTTGGCCTAACATTGAAAAAATTTGGCCAAAAAAGATCAAGTAATGTCAGGCTCACTTAAGAGGCCCTACAATATTTTTGGGCCAACATTTTTTCTGGGCCAATCCTATCGGCGCGCAGAAAACCTTTGAGGGCCCTAGAACCAAAATTCTGAAAATTTATGGCCAGTTTTTGGAAAATTTGGCCTAAAATTGAAAAAATAAGGTCCGAAAGGTCAAGTAAATACCAACTAAAGAGGCCCTACAATTTTTTGGCCCAACATTTTATTCTAGGCCCATCCTAGGGGCGCGCATACAATTTTCAGGGCTCTAAAACCAAAATTTGCAAAATGTATGGCCCGTTTTTGAAAATTTGGCATTTAATTGAAAGAAAAAGAAAAAGGTCAATTAATGCCCAAAGAGGCCCACCAAAGAGGCCCTACAATATTTCTGGGCCCATCCTATGGCCGCGCGGAAAACCTTTAAGGGCCTTAGAAGCAAAATTGGGCCAAAATATTTTGAAGATCTGTGGCCCATTTTTGGAAAATGTAAAAAAATAAGGCCCGAAAAGGTCAAGTAAAGACCAACTGAAGAGGCCCTACAATATTTTTGGGGGATTTGGGATATTCTTCAGGGCTCTAAAACCAAAATTCGAGCAAAATTTGTTTTAATTTTTTGAAAAAGTTAATTTTGGGAAGAGCAAGTTTTTCTTCAAGGAAGCAAAAAGGTAGGTCCACCTTTTTTAGGAGATATCAGGGGGGGCTCGGAGGAGCCCCCAGAGCCCCCCCCCCCTGGCTACGGGCCTGGTACTTATAGTTTTTATTCAGTTTGCTGGATTGCTGACTTTCAAGACGTTACCTGACAGCCACAGCTTTTAGCATAATCTTTTCTGAAACCGTTTTGGACTTCCTTGCTGAGCGAGTCCCATCTCCTTTGGAAGTTACAACTCTGTATTCTGGCAACACCACGGTTTATGCTACCTAAAGGACAGAAAATATCACAGATTTCGTTGAACAATATTTAAAACAAGATTTGAAAACTTGAGTCCTAAACATTTTATTGCTGTTAGGCCCTGCGATTATGTTAGGAAGAAACATCTAAAAGTTATTATATTTGCAACAAATATGTACAAAGTAATTGAATGACTTACCCGTAAGAACATACTGTTGTCCAATCTGAAGTGATACCCCACATGTTGCACCATGCAGAGCAGTTGAAACTTGGCTGATTTTTTCACCCTAAAAGGTGGTTATACTGTAAATGTTCATTAAGTCATATTGTTTATTGATGATAAAACAATTCAAATGCCAAATGCGAATGGTTTCATTGTTTTTCCTAAAAATACACTGAAATGTTTTTTGAATTTGTTTGCAACTGCAATAACTCTTAATGTCGGCAATTTGCTAAAATCATGGGATACGATGGGATCAGATTTTAATCAATTTTACTATGGAATAAAAAGAACATCCTATGATATGAGTGGTATAATCTTTACCCATTTTCATTAGCGAGCGTACATGCATGCGCATCTTCTCTTTACGTACTTACTTTGAAAACAGACTCGACCTGGATATCGTAAACTCGTGTCCCCCTCCATCTGTTTTCCCGATTTACAGTTTCATTGACGACATTTGCCAGCACCGCTTAATTAGGAATAAGTACTCAATGAAATATATGTATAAAACAGTCCAATCTATCATCTTCGTAAACAATTATTTAGAAGTTCCGATGAGAGAGTAACCCTGCCGCCCTTGTTTGGTATTATTTTTAAGAAAATATTCTTAAAATGACGCTAAACAGGTTCAATGACCCAAGCTGAATATTTAAGAGGTATCAATAACTCATAATCCAGTTGTCTTACATATATCATGCAATAGAAGATATAGATCAAAATCATTAAACTGAACCATTAGTATCGAGCTTTTTGTCAATAGGCATCTTAAAAATAACATATGAAACAAATGGATATAATAGATCCCATAAATATGAAATACCATCCGCTGACATTTTTTAGAATGTCATATTTTTGTTTATGTTTTATGTTGATAATATTATTGTTTAAGTAAGATGTGGGATGTTAAGTAAAAGTTCACACATCTTACTGAACATTTTACAAGAATATGTTACCAAATTCCGAATTGCAATAGTAGTGTTGTGGGTGTGTCATGGCACATCGACAACCATTACATACGATCCATTGGAGGCACAGCGTTGCAATTAGCACCAACAGCATCTTGTCGTTTGTGTTTGTCAGAAGAGTGTTAATTGCAATATTTTATATGGCCATCAACTATTGACTCGGTGACACTTGAATGTGCAAATTCTTATCAAGAAGATAAGTAGATGTGAGTGCTGATGTGATAACCAAAATTGTCAGTATTGGTATTCTGTCTAACGATACGCTTAAACAAACCTATTGTCTAAGCATCATCCTTCTTCAAATGACTTCATTTATGCTAGAAAGAGGTGAAATACCCTTGGACCAAGGATGAAGCATCATCGCAACTACGAGTTTTAGTTATATCTTACCAAACTGTGAAGTGCAGAAATTGATCTGAGGATGGGTTGGCATGCAGGAACAAGCTTCACTTGAGCTAGCAAGAAGACTAGCCACACACATAACAAATAGCTCCACTACCATCTTGTCTTCTCTTGGTATACTAGCGCAAATAGATTAGAGCTGCTGAATATCATATTAAATAGACAAAATTGACCTCGAACATAACATATTAAGATAATTTGATGCACTTAAATAGACAAGAACCTTATCAATCCGCCTTTTGTACAACTTTATCTTGTTAAGAAACATTTATTATTTCCCTCGGGAAATATTTACGTGCTCATTGGTCCCTACTTAGAAGTACTTACAACTGTATCTCAGAGATCCACGAACAGAATTAGATAAACAATAAATACTATGGAAATGGTATTGGTTACCTGCCTATAATATGAATTCGAAGATAATGCAGTCCGGGGTTAGAAGGAGCAATACAATTAGCGTCATTTGAAGTTTTGAAATTGAGAAATTGGAGTTTTGAACTACTTTCAAAAGTCAAAGGTTAAGGTCAAAATTGTTCTTACAACATTCTTTATCCTACTTTCACATTTTAGGTCTTATAAAGGATGAACACGAGAACGTTTGATTTTCAGAGATATGCACTTGACCTTTAAAAGGTCGCTATGACCTGAATAACACTTAGGAAGCACCTGAACACTATGCCATAATTTACATCTTATTAAATACCATATTACATGTCATAATGAATAAGGATGCTCTGGGGGCACTTGGTATATACTTATACTGTCGGATCCTTTACCAGTTTCCAGGATACAACAACTGACACACGTACATCAAAAAATACATGTACATAAATGTCATCATTTGATATTACATGATTCTTCGAGGTGTAAACTTATACTGAACAATGCAACATCATTTACCATTTCAAGATGGTTAATGTTATATTATAAACTCAAACTTGTGTCAAGGTTCAACGTTGTTACTTTGAGCTGTATTACGAGCATGCGATATCTCAATTATGGCTGTATATGAAATAACCTATTGTGATTTAGCAGTGTAATTAAATATGAAAATATAAATCATGCAGATTTAACAATATCCAATTTTGTGTCAAGAAATGTATTGAATACTGTATTTGAAATTGTCATTTCTTTCCACTGGTATATAAGATTATAGTAAATATAATTAGAAGTTGTATTTTTGGCCTACCCTGTTTATTAGTTTTACGCAGTTTTTGTCTCACCTGTTCGACCTATCAGATGGATGTCCGTACTTGTTGAAGTCCTTATAAGTATCAAAATGGATTATGAGCATAATGATGATCGAATGGATGGTGTAGACGATCTTAGCATTGAATGTGCTGATACTTGAAATGAGACAATACCATAATGCATTTGCTATCATGTTTATTTTATAAGCTCGTCATATCCCATTGTATATTGAAAAACAGGCTTAATTTAAATGATAACAAGGCATTAAAATGACAAAATGTCATCACCTGCAAATGGTTACAAAAGTGTAACAATTGTTACAGATATTGTCAAATCTCAAATCTAATGTCGGATTTGAACTTCTGAGAACGTGTAGGTGTTTTTGAAAAAATGGTCATTTTATTTAAATGATAACAAGGCATTAAAATGACAAAATGTCACCACCTGCAAATCGTTACAAAAGTGTAACAATTGTTACAGATATTGTCAAATCTCAGATCTAATGTCGGATTTCATTTTGAAAAATACCATTTGACCTTCAATATCGTGTTGCCATTGTAAACAGATATTAGCAGAAATGTGTTCAAATATGTTGAGAACAAAAAATTGGAGTCAGTCTAAACAGTACCTGCTAAGTTATTGGAAAACGCCGAACACCGTCCACAAAAAAGTTTGAGACTATAACAATATGTCACCTGTACCACTTCTGGTGGTGACAAAAAACAGCCATTAAATAAAGTATGATTTCGTTGTTTAATACTTTGCATTTTTGGCTATATAAAGATCATGAAATAGTATCGTATGGTGTTATTATCATGACCAGGTAATATCTTATTGATGAGCCACACTCTTAACTGCCATCTTTTTATTTCGACTGTGCCAAATAGCATCGATCAACAATCTGCATCTGCATGCATATAAACAATATATCTGGATGTAGCCTTTTAAATTAAAAGCACCATTGATTACTGTACTAACCGGGGCACAATAGATGACGCTTGATGCCTTAATCTAAAGCTCCGTGCATCTTACCCTGAAAAGAACCACCCAAATCTGAACTAAACAGAATCCATATATTTAATCGTATGAATGTAAATTCTTAAAATTTCTCTCCCTGTCTACGAACATTATTTTGGCCATTCATTTGGTTGATCAGATGCCAATTCTCAACAAGGAAGAACACAAGGCGCCATTGACCTACTAAAAACTTTCGGTGACCTAATGAACATTTGTATGGTCATCCCAGGCAGATGTTTTAGACAGCTAGTCCTTTCCTCTGGTACCACTTTCAAGTGTACGATAAAGTTTTGTCCTGAAAGATCGTCCTTTTGTCCATCCCTTGCTTGCTGTCTGGTATCAGTTGTCACGATGCATATTTTGCCTTCGCTATTGGGAGCCAAGCCACATATCGAATCTTGCTCCAAAACATTCTCAATTATAGTAACACTTTGAAAGTTCAATAAAATCTTTAAGAATGTGAAGCATATTAAGCCGAGTAATGTATTCAGGTATGTTGCACACATACTGTGACATTCTGCCATCTTTAAAATGTTTTAGATTCAATTCATAAAGTTTGGACCAAGTTATCATTGATACTTTAAGTAAACACACTGTACACTCTAGATAAAATGACAATGTAATGCTATGTAGTCGAACGTGTCTTGACCTGATACAACAATTAGCCATAGTGCATTGTCAAATTACAAGAATATGCGTTTTTTAAGTGTACTTCTTGGTGTTTTGGTGCTGTTGATTGATGTAGCCTCTCTGGATCCCATTTGCTGCACGCAGGACCAATGGGAGGGAATACTCTTAGTGGACGAGGGCATGGTTTTCATAGACGCCGTACCGCGTGGTGATATTAATCTACCTGGGGGAGGGAGGACACGGCCAGAAACAGCTTGGGCAGTGATAAATACAACAGCAGACGTGTCCTATGACTACACCAACAAGAGAACAAAACTGGTTCTTACAGCAGTTACACAAAGTCCACTTATTCCCCGGCCTGGGAAACAGACTGTCACCTATATAAATGACTATGTTAAGGTAAATACACAGAATTAAAACTAAAAATCAACTTATTCGCGATGTAAGAACATAGGAAACATCGGAGATTATAATAAGAGGGCAAGTAAAAAACAACAGGACCAAAGGAGCAACCGACAAAACAATATTCTGATATTTTGAAAAATATTTTGTTGCAAACAATTTCGAAAGCGAAGCCTTTATCAATGAATTGCCATATCGGTCATCCATAAGGTTCTTAAAAAGTAATTTGGCGTTCAAATATGTTAAAACATTGTGGTCGAATATATATCTTTTCTTCAGCATGTATCGTACCAGATCGATGATAGTGATGGCTGTCAAAAGTCACAGATAGACAACATGACGAAACAATGTGTTCCAGGTACGTCATGTCATAGACGCAGGTATGTAAGCACGAGTATCACGGATAGACAACATGACTAGGCAATGTGTTCCAGGTACGTCATGTCATAGACGCAGGTATGTAAGCACGAGTATCACAGATAGACAACATGACAAGTCAATGTGTTCCAGGTACGTCATGTCATAGACGCAGGTATGTAAGCACGAGTGCCACAGATAGACAACATGACTAGGCATTGTGTTCCAGGTATGTCATGTCATAGACGCAGGTATGTAAGCACGAGTGTTACAGATAGACAACATGACTAGGCAATGTGTTCCAGGTACGTCATGTAATAGACGCAGGTATGTAAGCATGAGTATCACAGATAGACAACATGACTAGGCAATGTATTGCAGGTACGTCATGTCATAGACGCAGGTATGTAAGCACGAGTATCACAGATAGACAACATGACTAGGCAATGTGTTCCAGGTACGTCATGTCATAGACGCAGGTATGTAAGCACGAGTGCCAAAGATAGACAACATGACTAGGCAATGTGTTCCAGGTACGTCATGTCATAGACGCAGGTATGTAAGCATGAGTATCACAGATAGACAACATGACTAGGCAATGTGTTGCAGGTACATCATGTCATAGACGCAGGTATGTAAGCACGACGAGTGCCACAGATAGACAACATGACTAGGCAATGTGTTCCAGGTACGTCATATCATAGACGCAGGTATGTAAGCACGACGAGTGCCACAGATAGACAACATGACTAGGCAATGTGTTCCAGGTACGTCATGTCATAGACGCAGGTATGTAAGCACGACGAGTGCCACAGATAGACAACATGACTAGGCAATGTGTTCCAGGTACGTCATGTCATAGACGCAGGTATGTAAGCACGAGTATCACAGATAGACAACAACATGACTAGGCAATGTGTTCCAGGTGCTCCATGTCATAGACGCAGGTATGTAAGCACGAGTGTCACAGATAGACAACATGACTAGGCAATGTGTTCCAGGTACGTCATGTCATAGACGCAGGTATGTAAGCACGAGTAACACAGATAGACAGCATGACTAGGCAATCTGTTCCAGGTGCTCCATGTCATAGACGCAGGTATGTAAGCACGAGTGTCACAGATAGACATCATGACTAGGCAATGTGTTCCAGGTACGTCATGTCATAGACGCAGGTATGTAAGCACGAGTATCACGGATAGACAACATGACTAGGCAATGTGTTCCAGGTACGTCATGTCATAGACGCAGGTATGTAATCACGAGTATCACAGATAGACAACATGACTAGGCAATGTGTTTCAGGTACGTCATGTCATAGACGCAGGTATGTAAGCACGAGTGCCACAGATAGACAACATGACAAGGCAATGTGTTCCAGGTACGTCATGTCATAGACGCAGGTATGTAAGCACGAGTTACACAGATAAACAACATGATTTGGCAATGTGTTCCAGGTACGCAATGTCATAGACGCACTTATGTAAGCACGAGTGTCACAGATAGACAACATGATTTGGTAATGTGTTCCAGGTACGCCATGTCATAGAAGCAGGTATGTAAGCACGAGTGCTACAGATAGACAACATGCTATAGGCAATGTATTCCAGGTACGTCATGTCATAGACGCAGGTATGTAAGCACGAGTATCACAGATAGACAACATGACTAGGCAATGTGTTCCAGGTACGTCATGTCATAGACGCAGGTATGTAAGCACGAGTATCACAGATAGACAACATGACTAGGCAATGTGTTCCAGGTACGTCATGTCATAGAGACAGGTATGTACGCACGAGTGCTGCAGATAGAAAACATGACTAGGCAATGTGTTCGAGGTACGTCATGTCATACAGACGGGTATGTAAGCACGATTGTCAAAAGAGGAAAGGCGATAAACTATAACAAAACATAGTAAGACAGAAAGATAAAAGAACAGATAGGATCACAATCAGACATAAACAAGGAAAACAAACCCTACCAAAAGTCCAAAATGACACGATAAAATTGATAAATCGATTTGAAGATGTATATAGTGATGTTGTTTTGGTTCAAATGTCGATTTTTCTGCTTTCTGAGAGACCAGTATATTCATTATTTTGAAAACTGCTTTGTGTTAAAATTATTTGGTCTCTCCCTGTACGTTATTTGAGCATATCGTTGTTGCTGTTTCACAATGTACTACTTAAGCATATTCGAATCTGGACAACATCTAATGTTTTGTACTTGTACAAACAATAGTTAAACACAAAACTAGATTCAATAAACCACTGCGATCAATTAAGTAAAACCAGATTCGATTTTCATCTTAACTTGTTTGTAAATTGATAGACGTGTGTACTTGTGTATGCAGGTGTTGCTTTATTTGAGGTAAGTGCAACACTAGGGAATGAGGCTGGAGCACTGCCAGTCAATGTGATTTTGCATGTAGTTGATGCCTTATTTGAGGTAAGTGCATTACAAGGGACAGAGGATGTAGCACTACCGGTCAATATCCATGTACTTTTGCATGTAGGTGATGCCTTATTTGAGGGGAGTGCAACACTAGGGACAGAGGTTGTAGCACTACCGGTCAATATCCATGTACTTTTGCATGTAGGTGATGCCTTATTTGAGGGGAGTGCAACACTAGGGATTGAGGCTGGAGCACTACCAGTCAATGTAATTTTGCATGTAGGTGATGCCTTATTTGAGGTAAGTGCAACACTAGGGATTGAGGCTGGAGCACTACCAGTCAATGTAATTTTGCATGTAGGTGATGCCTTATTTGAGGTAAGTGCATTACAAGGGACAGAGGATGTAGCACTACCGGTCAATATCCATGTACTTTTGCATGTAGGTGATGCCTTATTTGAGGGGAGTGCAACACTAGGGACAGAGGTTGTAGCACTACCGGTCAATATCCATGTACTTTTGCATGTAGGTGATGCCTTATTTGAGGGGAGTGCAACACTAGGGACAGAGGTTGTAGCACTACCGGTCAATATCCATGTACTTTTGCATGTAGGTGATGCCTTATTTGAGGTAAGTGCAACACTAGGGATTGAGGCTGGAGCACTACCAGTCAATGTAATTTTGCATGTAGGTGATGCCTTATTTGAGGTAAGTGCAACACTAGGGATTGAGGCTGGAGCACTACCAGTCAATGTAATTTTCCATGTAGGTGATGCCTTATTTGAGGTAAGTGCATTACTAGGGACTGAGGATGTAGCACTACCGGTCAATATCCATGTACTTTTGCATGTAGGTGATGCCTTATTTGAGGGGAGTGCAACACTAAGGATTGAGGCTGGAGCACTACCAGTCAATGTAATTTTGCATGTAGGTGATGCCTTATTTGAGGTAAGTGCAACACTAGGGATTGAGGCTGGAGCACTACCAGTCAATGTAATTTTGCATGTAGGTGATGTCTTATTTGAGGGGAGTGCAACACTAGGGATTGAGGCTGGAGCACTACCAGTAAATGTGATTTTGCATGTAGGTGATGCCTTATTTGAGGTAAGTGCAACACTAGGGATTGAGGCTGGAGCACTACCAGTCAATGTGATTTTGCATGCAGATGATGCCTTATTTGAGGTAAGTGCATTACTAGGGACAGAGGATGTAGCACTACCAGCCAATATCCATGTACTTTTGCATGTAGGTGATGCCTTATTTGAGGGGAGTGCAACACTAGGGATTGAGGCTGGAGCACTACCAGTCAATGTAATTTTGCATGTAGGTGATGTTGCTTTATTTGAGGTAAGTGCAACACTAGGGAATGAGGCTGGAGCACTGCCAGTCAATGTGATTTTGCATGTAGTTGATGCCTTATTTGAGGTAAGTGCATTACAAGGGACAGAGGATGTAGCACTACCGGTCAATATCCATGTACTTTTGCATGTAGGTGATGCCTTATTTGAGGTAAGTGCATTACTAGGGACAGAGGATGTAGCACTACCGGTCAATATCCATGTACTTTTGCATGTAGGTGATGCCTTATTTGAGGGGAGTGCAACACTAGGGACAGAGGTTGTAGCACTACCAGTCAATATCCATGTAATTTTGCATGTAGGTGATGCTTTATTTGAGGGGAGTGCAATACTTGGGGCAGAGGTTGTAGCACTACCTGTGGATATCTATGTAATTTTGCATGTAGGTGATACCTTATTTGAGGGGAGTGCAATACTAGGGACAGAGGATGTAGCACTACCGGTCAATATCCATGTACTTTTGCATGTAGGCGATGCCTTATTTGAGGGGAGTTCAACACTAGGGACAGAGGTTGTAGCACTACCAGTCAATATCCATGTACTTTTGCATGTAGGTGATGCCTTATTTGAGGGGAGTACAACACTAGGGACAGAGGTTGTAGCACTACCAGTCAATATCTATGTAATTTTGCATGTAGGTGATGCCTTATTTGAGGGGAGTGCAATACTAGGGACAGAGGTTGTAGCACTACCAGTGGATATCTATGTAATTTTGCATTAAGGTGATGCCTTATTTGAGGTAAGTGCATTACAAGGGACAGAGGATGTAGCACTACCGGTCAATATCCATGTACTTTTGCATATAGGTGATGCCTTATTTGAGGGGAGTACAACACTAGGGACAGAGGTTGTAGCACTACCAGTCAATATCTATGTAATTTTGCATGTAGGTGATGCCTTATTTGAGGGGAGTGCAATACTAGGGACAGAGGTTGTAGCACTACCAGTGGATATCTATATAATTTTGCATGTAGGTGATGCCTTATTTTAGGGGAGTGCAATACTAGGGACAGAGGATATAGCACTACCAGTCAATATCTATGTAATTTTGCATGTAGGTGATGCCTTATTTGAGGAAAGTGCATTACAAGGGACAGAGGACGTAGCACTACCAGCGGACATCTATGTAATTTTGCATGTAGGTGATGCCTTATTTGAGGGAAGTGCAACACTAGGGGCAAAGGCTGAGCACTACCAGTCAATATCTAGTATGTAATTTTGCATGTAGGTGATGCCTTATTTGAGGGGAGTGCAACACTAGGGACAGAGGGTGCAGCACTACCAGTGGATATCTACTCCTACGTCATGCCTGGGCTGAACTTTCAAACTAGAGCTACTGTTTCAAAGTCAAAATCTCGTAAGTCTAGAAATTGTGATAAGGACAAAATATTTACATTCTGCTGTGAAGACATTTTGATATGTTGACACCTCTATATAAGGCAAATTAATACGATCGTTGACCTGCCAGTAATTGTGGTTGAAAGTAATAACAGTCGATCAAATTGAGCAGTTGTTTAGATAGTCTGAAACAAATATGATGCCTACCTTCATTGGACCTTCAAGTCACATTTAAACCCTCCCATATAAATGTTGTTATTTTCAGAATGTATCCCTATAAGTATGCAACTAGTGGCAGGGGGAGTTGAAGCTGACAGTGGGACGATTTGGAACGTTGAAGCTCACAACATAACTGCTGGAATAAAGGATCCGAGTGTTTTTGAAGTTCCTGCAAAATGCAATCATGTAAAACAGGTATAATCGTATAATGTGAATATAGAAAGACTATACATAGGCCATTTCGAGCTTATATCAAATCAATTCACTTTAATGCTTTGAATTTGTATTGTCTAAAAGCTGGTGAAATGTAAAGGGTGTATTACTTAATTGAGACCAAAATGAGATATTTCATTTATGGTCAAATTAATGTTGTATTTTTGTATGCCCGTGGTGCTGGTGAATAGCGTAATATTTCAATGAGGTTTCTCCCCAGGTATCACTAAAAGAACAATATACAAGCGTTTTTGAATCGCCCTGCTAGTGCATTGCGTAATAGGTATCAAGAAAAAAGAACAAAAAGCCCCATAGCTCAAATTACATGTTAATAGTTATTGCAATGGAACTCCTGTAGTGCACTAGCAACAAGCCGGTGCGGTTGACATGCGCTGTTACCCGACAAGTTTGACACATCATAATTAGCGGTGTAAATGCGCTTGGATGAACTGCTTTTGTTGAAAACGTGCGAGCATGTAATTTACAACGCATGGGCTCATTGTTTTTCGTGATACCTGGGGGAAAACTTATTATATGTTATGCAATGCGGCTAACGTATTGTGCAAAATACTTGCGCCGCGGGCAGTTCAAAAACGCAGTCTAAATCATTTATTTCATTTTCAAGTACATTTACTAAATTGGTCAACTAGTTTGAGTTAAATACAATCATATTGAATTTTATTTCCAGATACCAAAAAGAATGGTTAGAAATAATCTGCATGGAACGTTGCAGAAATTACATCACATTTTCAAATAACTTCTTGAAGATACTCTTCATATCAAAATGGCCCATCCAACCATAATGGCTAGTGCTCTCCATAATTCAAGGTTGGAGATTTCACGATTGAAGAACTCAATGACTTGGCTATAAATTTGATTAATTTTTACATTTACATAGCAATGGTATCCGCACAACAGTGTTTAATTGCTTTGGTTCGAGGCATTTTGTCTCTCCCAACACCTCAATAATCATTCGTTATGAAGCTTTTTCGTCAAAATGCTACGTAACGAAGCAATTAAATCTGCTGTTTAACTCTAACTATTGTTATGGAATTGTTATTTTTGCATCGATAAACGATTACAATCAAATATGTTGCAAAAGGACACTTTGTAGGACAAATGGATCTGCATACTTTGCTTACAATACACGTGTAAATAAAATGTTGTGATGTTACGTTAAATAGTTGTTTCCGTGTGTTTCTCATTTTCACAACCAATGCTATTGTATAAGTACTTATAGCAGTTTAACTATGGACTCATGAATAACTCATTAATTTTAAATGCTAGAAGTATGTAAGATAAAATACACAGGCATTGATTAATGAGAAAGTGATGAACATTTATGAAGTAAACATGCACCATCGTACAAATTCTCTGGAAGTTAAGATGTTAGAAAGTCTTTGACCTTTAACATAATATGACAAATGAAAAACAAAACAACACCAATTCTTATGAGTCAATCTAAAACATCTATTCGAATTGTATTTAGAAATGCAATCCCCAAAGTCCCCATATCAGATAGAGTAGGCTTTAGAAAAGTAACATAGCCAATTAGCCATGGCCTGAGGTTCCATGGATGTTATAAATGTCCATGCCTCAAATGAAACTAGTAAAAAACGGTGAGGTTTCAGTTTCATTGATCAATGTTTGCCTTAAAAATCCTGGCAGTTGTTTGTAAACAGTTCTTCTAATGATTACTCTTGAGTAATTTATACTGTACTTTTACATGACCCTTTTGACACGTGTACATTGGTATGTGGAATGTGGTGCTGACGGGACCCGGGAGCAAGTTTGTCAGAAGTGAACTTGATCGTCTTGTATATTCTGGCATTTTGTTTTGATTGCATTTGCTTAGAGATTGCTCTAAATGTTAACAAAGTGAATTTGTTGAGCTTACAAGAACGTAAAATGCAATTGTGATGGATAGCGTCATTATCAACAGGGGTGGGAAACCATAAGTTTGGTGAAAAACCTTTAATAATACATGAAATTTACTTTAGCTAGAGACGCAAGAATTAATTCTGTAATTATTGAGCTTCCTGGTCAGGTTGATTACAAATTAATACATTTTTTAAAGATAAGTTAGTTAAATATTCATTTAGATGAACCTTAAATAAAACAATAACTTCCTTGTGGTATCATCACGTGAGATACGTTACGCGGAATATGGAATATATTAAATAATTAATGGTTGCGCGGTATTTGTGATACGGGTCAATATGCCATACTCACCTGCGGTATATGGCATATTCGGCAGGGGAGTTTGGCATGAGTTTGGCATATTCCGCAGTGAATATGCGATACATTAATTTCAGTGAATATCCGATACTCACCCTCGGAATATGCTACACTGACTGGCGGAATATGCCATATACCGCAGGTGAGTATGACTTATACCGCAGTTGAAAACGTGATACAAAAAGCCTTGATTTAATTGGTTGCGAAAATCGAATATGAATGTAAAACTACGCTGGAATACCAATATAGTTAGTGCTCCGAGTACTAATATATGAATCCTGGATTTATAGAGTAAGTTTATTACGTGATATTGCTGAGGGATACTTCTGCATTAGTTGACATATTCAATATACTGTACTGTTGATTCAGTAATCATTACAATAATTTCTAAACTTTTACCCGTTCAATTGTTACAATTGACAATTGCGTACCTCCGTATTGCGTTCTCATTGGTTAGATTATGCCATAAACCGCACGTGAATCTTTCAAACACCGCAAGTGAATATGCCATATTCGTTGCGGAATATGACATATATTTGTATTTCGTGTTTACCGCGTAACAAGATATGCATGTTTCCAAGAGGTCCTAGCAACAGAAGTAAGCCACAATCATGATAGAATCTAGAATGCGTTTTAATTGAAAAGGACGATGTGCATATTTAATTTATACTCGTAAAACATAGTCGAAAACATAGTAGCAATAGTATGACAAGTGTTTGCTAAAATATTACTAGCAGGTTGCAATGATTATCAAATATTAATAAATTATTGCATTTTATGGTATTACTTGGCGTGAACAGCCTGAAAATGTTATTTTGTAGTGACACTCGGGAATATTTATATTCCCGAGTGTCACTATAAAAACGCAAAATCACTTCTTGACAAATGGTCTTTACTTTTTGTGCAAAAATATTTTCAGGGCTTGTTATCCCTGTGGCTTTGTCCTTCTTCTTTCACTAGATAGGGAGCAATCCGCGTGAGTTGATAGTAAATGTCATTTCCTGTTCGAGATCTTAAAAGATGGCTGCCCACTTAAAATAAACAGAGCATTTAAATTATCATCATTGACCATATCAAAACATTTTCCATATTTTACTAAATATTGAAAGTCAAAATTGTACAAAAGTTCTAACTTAGAAATCGACACTTGCAAGCTATTTTTCTATTCAATTCAATTTTTTCAATTTTAAAACAGTTTATTTCAGAAAAACAATATAAATGATATAATGCGCATGCACAAAATAACTTGCGGAAGGCCGAACAGTTTCAATAGAAAAATAAGAAATGCCGAACTGTTTGAATAGAAAAATGAGAATTACTTCAAATCAATTCTGTATCACACTTTAAGACAAAACTGAAGCAATATTTAATAAATCATAAACCATTGGTCTAAATGGAAGAACAGGGAAATAGCAATAACAAATCAGTAAATTCAATAGTGCATCTTTCCTTCAACATTATCATATCACACTGTGGCTAGTCGATCTATGTGGATGCAGTCAGGCACATGTAATGTTTCGTGAGTACCCGCCTCTGTACTTTTCAATGGAAGAATTTTGCACTTTTGTTTAAATAATCTACATTTACTCATCCGTGTATATCATACTTCATTGATTTACCAAACCAAAGCAACGCTATAAACACACATTCTCTGATAATTTTACAGCGAATAGATAACTCAAACGAGTTCACTCGACCAGTTTTATCACCTCGCTCATAGCTGTGAGAAGGTATGTATAATTGCCATAGGTTTACCTTATAATGGGGAATAAAACATTCAAGTAATATAATTATTTCACGTACACAAATATGTCTGTGTGAAGTAAAATACAAATACAACGCATTTTATAATATTTTTGGGGTTATGGTATGAAATATCCGCTTTAAAAAGCAATTTAATTATGATGTATCATGTGGATTAGTAGACGTTCTAATTGGATTCAATGAACTGTCTGGCTAGGTTTTAATTTAATCATTTTGAATGTGTGTATTTTTAATATTTTACAAATATTTCTTAAACGCTCTCATTGGATACATCAGGAAGAAACAGATATGGTTACGTATAAACTTGAGTTTGCAAAGTTGGCATACATATATATTTTGTATTACAATAAATAAATAAAATTCCTTAGTGATACGGCGACCATTTCTTAATGCTTATTGTCAGTGTATCTGCTGTCACCTAGAATTTAGAAGTATAATTTATAGTCGTGATTCTTACCAACTGCAACTCCAGACCACCATACCAAGTCTGTGCTAAAAAAAGCGATTGTTTCTAGATCAGCCAGAGTTCCGACAATATTATTACAAATAATCAGTAAACAGGATTACCATATATGTAAATTTGTAACATAGCAATCCTAAATAGCATTTTGTTCTATAACACCGAATGTTTAAATCACGAAATATTATAACCATGGCCTCCTCCACCAATGTGCTACTTCAATACTTATAGCGAAGCCTGTGTTGATCAGGACCAGTTTTATTATATTTTATTATCATAAGAATTAAATGTTAAAATGAATGAAGTCTTACCTCAGAAACTTCCCATGAAACAGACGAAAGCCCATGAACCAAAAGTATTTAGTTTCCTTTCTGTATCTTACTTGTTTGGCACATGGAGCGGTGAAATAGTCCACAGTGTCCAAAAACAATAATAATGCTATATTGGTAATTGGAAAGATTCCACTTACCACGATTTCAAAAAAAAATTGTAAATAGATGATATAATTCTTGAATTTGGGTCATTTGTTTCAAGGAATCTGTAGGCTCTTTCAGCTGAGCTGACAAAATCATCAAGATTTACAGATGGTCCATCTGTTGGCTGCTCATTGTCACTTTCAAGTAATGTTAATGACTCTGAAACTTGATCTGTGGGTATTTCAGTGGGTTGATGGTTCTTGGGCTCTGAATTCACTTGATTGGCGTACCTAATTTCAACATCTTCATTGTCATCATTACATGTTATGGACCCGTTTTTCAAATTAACAGTATTAAGGATGAAACCATAGTTTTTTCTTCTGTAATGGCATTTTCCAGTTGACGGGTCTATATAAAGTCTATCAATTTTAAATTCTTCATGAGGGTGCATTGTAATGGTGTGGCTAATTACTTCACTGAATAAGGAATCTTTATCCGAACAATGGATGCAAAGAAAATCTGGCCAGTTGTCCATCTGTAAATAAATCATCATGATAAAAGCATAATTTATTATAGCATCCATTTGTTACCGTTCTGAATCCAAATGATACATAGTTGAATCCATTTGATACATATATGTTGACGTTTACGAAATGTTGTTCAAATATCTTCCCTATAACAGGAATATGCTAGCTGAAACTTTCACACATTGTCATACTATGTATATTGAATATGTATGCAAGATTTCAAGTCAATATGTTAAGTAGAAACTCTGAGATTACTTACCTCGATTTTCTGTCATATTTTTTCAACGACCCCATTCCCTATAATGTACGCGGGAACCCACGAAACATTGCATATACATGACTGCATCCACATTGATCGACTAGCCACAGTGTATCAAAGCAAAAGTTATGATTAAATGCATAACTAAACATTCAGTGTTGAAGATGACCACAAAATTAACATATATCAATAAACATGACCTTAAACTGACCCATACTATTCAGTTTATCCTGAGACACATTTCTGGCACTCGATCAACTGCTCTTTTTCTAAAGGCATTGTACATGTGGTTGTGGGGGGGGGACTGAGGTGGAGATGGGGTTCAGTGGTGTGTAGACATTTTGTATTTTTTTCACTATTTTACGTTGTAATATGGATAATACTCCCATTAGGGGGTCTTCCATCTTATTTGATGTATATGATTTTATTATAAACTGAAATAAAACACAATAACATAACATAATGTAACGAAATTTCAAGCCAGTTCATCCCTATGTGTGATTGATTGAGTGGTACTTACCTGCCAGAGTTCACATATTGTCCCTTTAGACGATGATTACAGTAGATTATTAGACTTTACAGAAATTTCATTCATTTTTCGTGAACTGGTGTTATTTTTGGCGACGTAATGGAGGCTGCCATCTTAGTTTTGCCCATATAAGGAACGAGTCCAATTTATATTTTCACCCTTCGATTTCTCAACACATAAGCTAAGTTACTTCACTTTTAGCCGTCCTAGACTAAGTTAGAGGTGTAGAGTTTCGAATTAGATACCCTTCAAGGTCCAAATCTTTATCATTTGTTAGAAATTATAGGGAATTGCTTCGTCAGATTTTGACTTGAAAACGTTTCGAATTTAACTTCCGGTTGGTAATTTTGCTGATATTTTGCAGTTTATCGACATTATTCAAGCTCCTATCTTTTATAAAAACATTCTAGAGTTATTTATCGTTCCAATCTATCCCCGCCACTGTAAAATTATATGTTTTTAGCCCAAAATACTTGGATGACCGGCGGAGTGATATTTTCTTACCGCGGAAGGCGAACTATTTTGTTACAGGGACTATATAAGGCGGGAAGCAGTGAGCTTAGCTCAGTCTTTATTTCAGGTTCAAGGGGAACATATCAAGGAGTCTTTCTTTCAGGTTCAGTACATACGTTTGAGGAGCGAGTCAATACGTTTCAGAATTGTGGAATTGAGTTCTTTCAAATTCAAGCAATATCAATCAAGAGATTCGATCTCAGGTACTTTGAAATTCTTTCACTTTAATAGAAATACTTCTATAGAGATATATTTTGGATAACAATTGTTAGTGGAATTTAACTTCAACTTATTTCAGTTGACTTTGGTTTGGAACTTTGATTTATTTTAGGGATTTTATTTCAGAACTTTATTTGTTTTCAGCACTTTGTATTTTCAGATGTGATCCGGATCAAGAGTATGCAGAGAAGAGACTGTGTATATTTTCAGATGTTGTCCAGACCAGGTGTAGTCGAGTAGACAGTATATATTTTCAGATGCTGTCCAGACTCATTGTATGAGCAGAGACCTTGTGTATTTTCAGGAGCTGTCCGGACCAGGTGTATTTGCAAAGCAGAGACTTTGTGTATTTTCAGATGCTGTCCAGACTCATTGTATGAGCAGAGACCTTGTGTATTTTCAGGAGCTGTCCGGACCAGGTGTATTTGCAAAGCAGAGACTTTGTGTATTTTCAGATGCTGTCCAGACTCATTGTATGAGCAGAGACCTTGTGTATTTTCAGGAGCTGTCCGGACCAGGTGTATTTGCAAAGTAGAGACTTTGTATATTTTCAGATGCTGTCCAGACTCATTGTATGAGCAGAGACTTTGTGTATTTTCAGGAGCTGTCCGGACCAGGTGTATTTACAAAGCAGAGACTTTGTGTATTTTCAGATGCTGTCCAGACTCATTGTATAAGCAGAGACTTTGTGTATTTTCAGATGCTGTCTGGACTAGGAGTATTCACACAGACTGTGTATTTTTAGGTGCTGATCCGGATCTTGGGAGTATTTGTAAGATTCTGGAGGTGATCCAGAGTCTGTGCAATTGCCGAGAATTTGGTGTATTTTCAGGACTTTTGTGTATTTCCAGAGGTGGTGACCGACTTTGATTGACAACCGAGTTTGCTTTGTAGGCATTCTATTTTTCAGGGTTTGCTTTGTAGGCATTCCTTTTCAGGGTTTGCCTTCTATATATTTCCAGAGTTGCCTTCTATATATTTTCAGGGTTTGCCTTCTACCTTTCAGGGTTTGCTTTGTAGGCATTCCATTTCAGAGTTTGCTTTGTAGGCATTCCATTTCAGAGTTTGCTTTGTAGGCATTCCATTTCAGAGTTTGCTTTGTAGGCATTCCATTTCAGAGTTTGCTTTCTATATATTTCCAGGGTTTGCCTTCTATATATTTCCAGGGTTTGCCTTCTACCTTTCAGGGTTTGCTTTGTAGGCATTCCATTTCAGAGTTTGCTTTGTAGGCATTCTATTTCAGAGTTGCTTTGTAGGCATTCCATTTCAGAGTTTGCTTTGTAGGCATTCAATTTTAGAGTTTACTTTCTATATATTTCCAGGGTTTGCCTTCTATATATTTTCAGGGTTTGCCTTCTACCTTTCAGGGTTTGCTTTGTAGGCATTCCATTTCAGAGTTTGCTTTGTAGGCATTCCATTTCAGAGTTTGCTTTGTAGGCATTCCATTTCAGAGTTTACTTTCTATATATTTCCAGGGTTTGCCTTCTATATATTTTCAGGGTTTGCCTTCTACCTTTCAGGGTTTGCTTTGTAGGCATTCCATTTCAGAGTTTGCTTTGTAGGCATTCCATTTCAGAGTTTGCTTTGTAGGCATTCTATTTCAGAGTTTGCTTTGTAGGCATTCCATTTCAGAGTTTGCTTTGTAGGCATTCTATTTCAGAGTTTGCTTTGTAGGCATTCTATTTCAGAGTTTGCTTTGTAGGCATTCCATTTCAGGGTTTGCTTTGTAGGCATTCCATTTCAGAGTTTGCTTTGTAGGCATTCCATTTCAGAGTTTGCTTTGTAGGCATTCCATTTTGGAGTTTACTTTCTATATATTTTCAGGGTTTGCCTTCTTCATTTCAGAGTTTGCTTTATAGGCATTCCATTTCAGGGATTGCTTTGTAGGCATTCCATTTCAGAGTTTGCTTTGTAGGCATTCTATTTCAGAGCTTCTGTTCCAGACCTGTCTTTCCAGGGATTGTAATTTCAGGTTCATCGAGTAGAGAACTTTATTATTGAGAGGAACAGATACAGAGTAAGAGACCTTTATAACAGGAAACAAGCCAGACACAGAGAATCAGACACGGCCATAGACATTTAGAGAGATATAGAGACCCATATACTCATAGACATTATTGAAGCAGATATAGACATTGGATGCAAGATACTTGATACATTAGAGATACAATCAATACAAAGCTAGAGACATTCTCGATTTATTTTTGTAACACTTCGTGGGCTAATAACAGCCTAAATAGAGCTAATTTCTTTTCATAAGTAAACTGAATTACTGTGTTTGTCATTATTATTTAGAGGCAGTAGACTCGGCTGAAGTAAAAGTGTCAACCGACCCCGACACGCCCAAAGACGTCTCACCCCTTTTTAAACAAACGAACCCCAACTTCCCAAATCATAACACCATATACACACTACCACGGAGGTTGGAGCCGTTCGTTACACTGGTGGCAGCGGTGGGATAGATAGATAAAGTCAGCTGAGTCGAGTGCAGTTTTCAGTTTGCTTATATTTTGTAGATTGGTGATATTTCATAAATATGGCCAGTAAAGATGACCAAGCCGGAGATCAGTTGAGAGAAACTGCACCACCAACGCCAGATAAGACAGTGGTCTTCAGAGAACAGGATCCTCAAGGAGGAAAGAACCCAATACCTTTTGATGACACTATAGCAGTTCCTAAGACAGGGACAGATGACATAACCTCGCAGAGTTCCGTGGGATCTGAGCTTAGCTCCTTAGAAGCAGAAGCAGCTGCAAAAAGACTTGCAAATCTGGGTGCGAACCCAGCTGGTAAGGATCCATTGATCTTTCCAATTTCAGGTGCGGTCCAGAAGAAACAGATGTTCGAATCCCCGCCAGGGCTGAAAAGACAGGTACCCCAGAGTACAGGATACTGGACTGGAGCAGGCCAGATGGATTCTTTCAACTTTGGGATGGAACAAAGCTACAAGAGACCTAGAGATGTTCAGCAGCCCCGGACATCAACTATGATGAGGCCCAACTCAGGTTATCCTATGCCAGTTCCAGAAAGGTTGAAGCCAGAGAACCTGACATTGAGTTTTACAGGCATGGAAACTAGACAAAATGACCTGCAGCAACAGATGAATACTATCAAGTATCAGCTGAGAGAACAAGGGAGTATGCAGGCAGGAGATATAAAACAACTTGGACAGCAAGTAAGACAAGTACAGTCTGATCTGGTGGCCAATGCAGATGTTTTACAAAGCCGAATAGAGGCCAATGCAGATACGTTACAGAATAAAATTGAGGCCAATACAGGTATTTTACAGAGTCAAATAGTTGGTAACATAAATGTTTTACAGAACCAAATGGAGACTAATGCAGAGGCCATCCAATCCCATATAGGAGGAGAGATTGGTGCCTTGAAGTCACAGATGATGAATATGACGCAAACTCTTTGTCAAGCTATGAGGGAAGGACAACAGAGCCCTAAACCAGTTGGTCTGGACGTACCTGGGTCTAGACCAAATCTTCGTGAACAATTCCCTATAGAAGAACGGGAAGTTGAACCCCCTTGTTCATTTCAGGATGAATCAGAGGCAGAGTCTCAGAAGGCTG